ATAATAATTATAAATGCCCATCCTCTCTCCCACCTCCAAAAAATCTGATCTCTGCATTGCTCCATCTCCCCCATCTCCATGCAAGCCTGCAAACATGGGCATGCACACATTATTGGAAGACACCCTCCTAAAGAAGGCTGGCCTTAGAAACCCCGGATTCAATTTAATCATATGCTGGCTGTGTCTCCAGATGTTCAATCTCTCTTAGCTACAGTTTCTTCCTGTGCAAAATGGAAACCATAATTTTGTACTCACTTAACTCACAGAGTCATCATAAAGATTACATAAAAGAGAAATGTAAAGAAGCTCAGCATTCATTGATACCTTATTTCCATTCTGCTCATAAAGTATGCCAGTAGATTTTTTTAACTAAGTGCAGGATTTTATACTAATCTCCAAACATACAGACTCGTTTAGGATTTATCAGATTAACATCATTCTTTTTTTTAAGATTTTATTTATTTATTTATTTATTTATTGAGAGGGATGGGGGGGGCAGAGGGAGAGAGAGAATCTCAGGCAGACTCACACTGAGCATGGAGCCCAACTTGGAACAGAATCCCACAACCCTGAGATCATGACCCCAGTGGAGATCAAGAATTGGACACCCAACTGACTGAGCCACCCAGGTGCCCCCAGATTAACATCATTCTAAGTGATTTCTCTATATTCAGCCTTCACATTTTTTCCTCACGTGATACATTTATTCTCATGAGTTTTAAAAATCTATTCATATCAAAATGAAAGCATTGGAACCCTATCCCCACTAGTCACAAATTTTCTTTTATTATTCAGAACAAATCTGCGCTAACTGGCTGACTGATACACTGTGCTGGGGGCAATGGCAGTCAAAGAAATATAATTTGGGGTGGGTGCCCTCCAGTCTACTAGTCTATTGGGGAAAAACCTTCATACTTAACCTTAAATGTTAATGCCTTGAAACAGTAACAAAACCTTTCAAAGAAACCTAGAAAAACCTCAAAATGTCCCATCATGGAACAATCTTGTAACTTTGATGGTAATTCTCTTTAACAGTCTTCCCTCCTGGCTGTGTATGAAATGGAGGAGACCTGACATTGTGGAACCGAAAATCTTAGGATTCGTCACCTAACTTTAATGCTGAAGGGCCTGGGGGATCATCCAGACTAACCCCTTCATCTAACAGAAGAAGGTGCAGTGATCCTGCAGAGAGCAAAGGACTTAATCCAAATCACTCCAATCGGTAGCAGAACCTGGGCGAACTCAGGCCGGCCTTGACTCGTTTGGGGTTGTTACAAAACGGTAGGAATCAAAGTGGGAAGAGAGTGGGACAGGCCACAGGAAGAAAACGTACATTTTGCACACATCTGGTTCTTATTCCTCCTCCTAGACCATGTTCCCCGCCCCCCCATGGGTGGAACGTCAGGAGAGGGAGGACCCCTGGAGAAGAGCTAACAAGGACCCCTGAAAAGCGTCCCCGGGGGTTGTGTGGTTGGGCCCTGACACCCTCGCCAGACTGCTGAAAGCATCTCGGCGAGTGTGGTTTCTGAGCGCACGGAAGCCCTTCCCTCCCCCAGCGCCGCCGCGCTCGCCCCGCCCCGTGCCCGGCAGTAACCCCGAGGCGCCCTGCAGCCTCGGCGATCTTCAACGTAGCCGTTTGGGAAGAGAAAAAAAATAGAGCATGTGCTCCTTTTCTCTTCAAACCTGGTAGTTAGGTCGGAGCCCCTCCCTTGCAGAAATAAGAACTTGGAACTTTACGCCCACGTGGCTTTTCCGTGAGCTTGTGCTCCCTTCGGAAGCCCGGGGCTCCTTTCCTAACCGCCTTCTGGGGGAAGAGGATGTGGGGAGGAGGCATCGCTGAATAGGGGCCAGCCGTGGGAGAAGGGGGTGAAGTCAACCGATGGGGAAAGGGGGAACGAGAAGTAATGGGGAGTCCGGGACGTAGGGATGTGTGGGGGTGACGGCTCAGGGGGCCATGGTCGCCCCGCCGGACCTGAGATTGTGTCCAGCCTCACCAGACCCAGAAATTAGGGCATATCAGCAAGGCCCACACCCTTTATTTCGGAGGGTAACGGAAACCACTAAAAAATCAGCGCTCTGGACGCCCCGCCGGAGCCTGAAGGGAGCTACGCGCAGGCGCACACGGCTCAGCGTCTGCCCTCGAGTAACCCTGCGCGGCTGGCCGGGCGAACTAGGTGAAAGGTAACTAGCAGGCACTGCTCCGGGCGACAGCCGAAGCGCGCGTGCGCGGCAGGGCGGGTGCGGGCCCGGCGGCCCGCTCTGACCTCCCCAAGTTTCTCCAAGTCCGCACATCAGCGAGCTGTGGGAGTGGCGCGGCAGGGAAGGAGCAGTGCAGGAGGCGCTGGGGTGGGGGTAGGGGCAGACTTGGAAAATTCTCGTCACTCGGCCCTCCCAGGGAGGTCCCGGGATGATGCGGGGAGAGAACCACTTACTGGGCGCCATTTGTGTGCCCGACTAGGTGCTGGGCGTGTCACTGCCTTAATTCTGGCAACGCTCTGAAGGAGGCTCTATGGCCTCACATTTACGAAAGAGGAATGCGAGGCGCTGCGATTTCATGTAACTTGCCCAAGGTCATTCAGTCTATAAAGGGCAGTTTCCACAAATGGTCCCTGATTCGAGCTTTCTTTTGTTTGTTTGCTTGCTTGCCCTAGTGCTAACAACTGACATGTAACAGTGCATTTTACAAGGCACCTCTTAGACATTACTCGTTCTATCTTTACCTGAAAGCTACGAGGTAGGTAATATTACTATCTCTCCTTGTGGATGGACAAACTGAGACTCAAAAGTTGTTCTAAGCTCACACAGAGACTAGCAGAGTTGAGATTTTATGCCTCATTTTAGAGGGATCAAGAAAGATCAGGTTCCTCCACCTCCTATCCCACAGACCTACAGGCTCCCTCCAAGGGAGCCATGCGGAAGACAAAGATGTTCTCATCACTGGAGGTTTCCTTTGATTGCAGGTTTCCAGTACACAATTACAAAGTGACCACTCCTTGGAGATATTTGGGTTGTTAGCTCATTGAGGGCAGGGACAGAGTGCACTGCTCATGGTCTGTTGAACTTGTTTGTTGGTGAGTTTATAACTAAATAAACACATATTCAACCTCAGACTACCCAGGGGGAAGCCGCAATTGTGTATGGCACTGGGTGAAGTGATTACTTTCTTGTGACTTTTCCCCCGTGAGGGCTCTTGCATTCATTCAGCAAACATTCTTAGCACCCACTCTGCTGTGCACTGAACTGGAAAACAAGACAGGAGCTTTGAAAGGCAGGAAGGCCTTGCTTCTCCTGAAAACTCCAGTCTGAGTCCTAGACATCTGGGAGTTAGCCCGCCTCCACACATGTGGAAGCCACAGGGTTTCCTGTGAGGGCAAGAAATGCACCACCCAGGGAGGGGCGTGGGACCAAATCACACCCCTCCCCCCCTCCCTGCCAGCTGGTGCCGGCCTGTTCCTCAGAACCGCAAAACAAAAGCAGCTCTGCTCCTCTCCTGAGGAGGCCTTTGAAACAGGCAACTGCCGAAAGGGAAATGCAAGGGAAGCAGAAAAAGCTGCGGAGCGGCCAGTCAGCCCCCTCCCGTGCCTCATCTCCTTCCAAGAATCCCTTCTTCCCTTGAGTGTCCAGTCAGGGAATTGGAATGTCACCGCCTGTGCCCCAAGACTGTGCTGCTGCTCAGGCTGATAAAGACAAAGGCTGCACTGGACGGTCTTTGCCCGAATGTAACCCTCCCTGCCTCGTAGCCTCCCTGAGGTAACCAGGGGAGATCCCACGCTGCCCCCAACTATCAAGATGCTTCGCAAGCTGCCTGCCTGGTGGTGTTGGCAGAAAGAAAGCTGCTCGGGGACTAACACTATCAATCTACTGAGAGTCCCCGTGCTGACACACTGGGCGCTTTGCTACACACTTTCACTTGAGTTCCCATAGGATCCCCCACAGCCCTCTGCGGTAAGTGGTACGATCCCCATTTTGTAAACGATAAAACTTGGGCTCCTGAAGGGGTGATTTCCCCACATCACACACCAAGTAAAAGGACTGACTGAAACTCAACTCCCACTGCTTTATGCATTTAGAACCCAGCACCCCAATGGGGCAGGTACTTGGGGCTGGTTGGGAAAACTGTCCCTACGATACTTACCTTCTTCCCTAATTACCCCAGAGATATTTCAGTAGAAATGTAGAACAAGTGAAATTCCATGCCTTATACCAAGTTAAATAATAAGTGACTTGATAAAGGAATGAATGCATGGATGGATGAAGGGAGAGAATGAGATGTGATTAAAGTGCCTGGAATTGCGGTCGGCACATAGTAGACCCTCAATAAATATTTCCTTAATGAATCCGTAAAAGGGAAAGAAGAAATCAAAATATAAAGAATGGAAGAATTTCAGTGTGAGGTGCAGATATTTTAGGAAAACAATTTCCCAACCTGAAGCTCATAGATAAAGTTTATAGTCCTGTTGGAATTTGAAACGCTTCTTTTTGAATTATCGCTGAAAAGTTTACTGGCCCCAGAAGGTTATCAGTAGATACACAAAAAGTGGATGCAGTTAAGCCCTGGTCCACAATCCCCTTCCTATTGAATTACCTCTTATGGTGCTTCTTGGGTGTGATTTGTGCTGCTGGTTTTTATCAGTTGGAAAGGCCTTTCGTTTCATTCACTAAGTGTTAGTACATACTCTTTATGAAGCACTACGTAGGTTACAAAGTGCATAAGATATGGTCCTTGCTCCCAAGTGAGGAAGACATGAGATTTGGAGTCAAACGTCCTCAGTTTGAATCCCTGCTCTGGTGAGGGTGTGTACTTCTGCACATTATTTAACCTCAGCCATGTTCAGTTTTCCCATATGTAAAAAGGGGTATAAAACTACCTCACATATAGCAAGAAAATTTAATAATATATTAAAAAGGAGGGATTAATAAAAGGCAAATGCTATTAATTTAGCTTTATTCAGAGAGAACATGGGGAATGTTGTGCCAGGCACCAAACCTAGCTCTCTTTAGGGAAGGGGAACCAAAACCTTGAGACCTAAGAAGGATTTTGGACTGGAGACTGGCCAGGCAGCACGGAGCATGGAGGAGCAGAGCCTTACTGACCAGGAACAGTGTAGGAACTAGGTAAGTGCCTCTTAGGACTTGGGCCTTAGCTTTGGGCCACATTTCTATTGAGATATGGATATGTCACTTGAATCTGGTGGCTGCAGGAAGAAGGAGCATCTCAGAGGAGCTGAATCCCATGAGAACTCTAACTGTGCTCAGCGTGCCCCTTCCCTGCTCAGGTCAGCCTGAATTCATAGCAGCTAGCATTTGTTGAGTCTCTGCTGGATGTGAGACCCTAAGAATTCAGAGCAGGCCTGAAAAAAATGTAAAATTTGTAAACACAGAATGAGCTGAAGGTTTAAGAGGGCAGAAACCTAGCCCACAGGGACCTGAGAAATTCCCGAAGACGTAGCCTTTGGCTGAGATGTGAAGGATGGGGCTGATTTTGCCTAGGATAGGAAAACACAAAATGGGTTTACACCCTTTGACAAACAAGTAAACAAAAACAAGTAGAATTCCACTTTAGCCATACTAAATGCTTTCTTTGGTTTACTCAGAGAATTTAGAGGGAAAGGAAGAAAGCACGAGGAAATGCATGTTGGCCATCTTGGAAGCCAAGGGAATAGGTAAGGCTTTACGGCTTTGACCTGTTTACCAGCTCTGTGGCCTCGGTTTGTCCCCTTCTCTCTGTGCCTGTAGCCTTGTCTATAAAATAAGAACTCTCATACCTAACTGACAGCATTGTTGTAGGGATTAGAAGAGATGGTGAAGGTCAAGTATCCACTACCATCCATACCAAGAACTTGATAAACTCTGGAGAAATGGCAACTTTTTTCTCCTTCCCCACCAGATGGAAGGTCAGGGCTGAACTCCTTTATTGGCATTTAGCCACACAGCCTCTTTTAAAACAATAGGCCCAAGAAACACTTCCAGACATCCTCCTAGACTCAGAAATGCCTGCTTTCTCTTTATCTACAGAAAAACTTGTGCAAATGTCCACCCCTCGGGAACACAGCAACTGTGTTAATTAAGCATAACCCTATTCTGTCTGAAGATTATAATTACCCTTCTCTGTAGATGTCCTGCCTTGAGGATTCCTCTGCTCCAGGGCTAACCTGTCAGAGCCCGGCCTCCTTCGGGTGGAGATGCAGAAGGGCTGGGATCTCAGAATCTGTCCACAGAGGACAAACTCCGGTCCCCCTGGAAGGTTGTTGTAAATAATTAGTGTGCATCCTGTTTCTTTCCCTAGCCTCATGGTAGTTCCAAGGACAACAATACAGAGGAAAGCCACGTCTCTGAGGAATTTCCTGAATAATCCAAAATGCTCAAGTGTCAAGGAATTTCCCCACACAGCATCCAAGTCTAACCCATTCTTCATTTTGTCCCACTTCACACTTGAAAACACTGTAGCGGGTACACAGAAAATTTTAATTCCCAGTTGTTGTTGTTGTTGTTGTTGTTGTTTTTCTTTTCCAGAGTTAAGTCACTGGGGAAAACTGTCAAGGCTATAAAAAAGAAACAAGAGGTTTAAATTCCACCTAAACTCATCTCAGTAGCTTAATGTTCCTTTGGGGGAACCAGCAGCGTCATTGCAGGAGCTTAGAAGGAGAGCCAAGTGACTGGGATTCTAACCTGTGTCTACCTCTAAGCCGACAGGCAGCCTAAGCTAAGTCATGCCCCTTCTCCGAGTCTCCCTTTCCACACCTGTAAACTTAAAGGTTTGAGCTAGTCAACTTTTAGGTTCCCTTCCAATTATCAGTCACCTCTGAAATGTATTTGGAGTTTTGCTACTTGCCCCCAAAGCAGGGAGAGTTTTGAAACTAGAAGCCAATATTTCAGAAACCTCGGAAAAAGAAGGCCTGTAAGACACCAGCATTTGTTGAAATTCAAGTGCAAACACCAATCAAAATCTAACAACAAAGTCCAACTCAGGAAACTATGTACCTGAGAACAATGAAAGTATTATTTAGTTCTTTGCCAAAAGTTAAAACTAAATTTAACCTTTTTTTCCCTAAATTTATTGTATTTATTTGGCTGCGTGTTGAGTGGTTTTTTTAAAGGAAGCAAGCACATTTAATTAAAAGATAATACTGTGCCAATTTTTGTTAATTAGGGGAAACAATAAATGTGCTTACCTTTCTGCACATACATGTACATTATATAAGGAATGAGGACTTTCAGAACCAATAGCTAGGAAGAACTATGAGTATATTTATGAATTAACCTTTTTTTAAGCAAATAAAACTAGGAAATGGTTGAGTTGGTGTAGTGGACACTGTTGGTTCCTTATTGGTACCTGTCTGTCCCCAGCTGCTATGAGTACTCACTGCTAGTCGTTCACAGAAATTGCCCTCCACAGAATGAAAGCTGACTCTCCCAGGAGGTTATGTTCCCCTCCCTTGCAGCCAAAAACTGATTGATAAGGGGTTAAACTCTCTGGCACCACAGCTCAGGATGAGACCAACTCTGCGTGTGATTTACGCTCCAGAGTTCCCCTGGGATCAGGCCATGGCTACACTTTTCCTTAAGTCATGTCCTTATCTGACTAGTTGCCCTCCCCATCCTGCTTCCACATACACAATTCCTACACCATAGAATCTCTGCAAGGATACACAAAAAACTGGTAACAGTATTATTTCTATGAAGAGGAACTAGATGTTTGGATTTCTTTTCTTTCCATATTTAATATTGTAAATATGTGCATGTGTTATTCAATAAAACCAGTTGATTTTTTAAAAGTACCACTTAGTGTAGAAACTATAGAATATACAGGAAAATAAAAATCACTTAAAATCCCAATTCTAAAATATACCATTGTTTATATTTTGTTCTATTTCCTTTCGGTCCTCCTTCTATTTGAAGACTTTTTTTTTTTTTTTAATAAATGTGGGATCATGATGTACATGTAGAGTTATTTTCTGATTTTTGGAATCAATTTTATAGCCTAAGTATTTTCCCACATTAATACATTTTATCCTGGGGTGCCTGGGTGGCTCAGTGGTTAAGTATCTGCCTTCAGTTCAGGTCATGATCCCAGGATCCTGGGATCAAGCCCCGCATCGGGTACCCTGCTCTGCGGGGAGCCTGCTTCTCCCTCTCCCACTCCCTCTGCTTGCGTTCCCTCTCTGGCTGTGCCCTTCTCTGTCAAATAAATCAATAAAATCTTTTAAAAAAAAATACATTTTATCCTAAAATATCATCTGTAATGGCTATTTAGTTTTCCACTGTATAAACATACTATAATTTTAAAATCAGCTCCCTATTGATGGCCATTAAGATTGTTTCCTATATTTTGCTATTGTGTAATGCTGCTAGGTAGCTGTGAGTCTATTGTTTCCTTAGAATAGATTTCTAGATGTGGATTTATTGGTCAAAGAAAAGGGACATTTTTATTTATTTATTTATTTTTAGATTTTATTTATTTATTTGACAGAGAGCGACATAGCGAGAGAGGGAACACAAGCAGCAGGAGTGGGAGAGGGAGAAGCAGGCTTCCCGCGGAGCAGGGGGCCCAATGTGGGGCTCGATCCCAGGACCCTGAGATCATGACCTGAGCCGAAGGCAGACGCTTAACCGACTGAGCCACCCAGGCGTCTGAAAAGGGACATTTTTAAACTTATAATAATGAAATATTAAATTGTCCTCCTCAAGGTTTGTATCCATTTACAGTCCCCCCAGCAGTATATATGAGTATTAATGAGCCCTCACCAGCACTGAGAACAATGGACACTTGGCATTCTTGGGTTTATCACTGTCAAATTTCCAGTCCTCAGGAGCTTCCCAAAAGGTTCCTGACAGGTAGTAATTGGTAACTGGTTGAGATACAACTGGGAAGCTGTCAGGATTGGCTGAGGAGGTCACTTAGCACTCAATAAGTCTAGCTCAGGGCCGAGTCTGCAGTCACTTTAGCAGCTCTGCAGCAGGGCTCTGCTGACTTCATCCTGCAGTGTGGCCCCTTCTGACCACTGTGCCATCCATCAGCACATTACTGGGCAGCAGACGTCACTGGCACCCATCGTCATCCCTGAATTTCTGCACATTCAGGTAAGCTCATGGTTTGCTCTGTTTCAATAATGACATCATAATATAGTTTCAAGTTTATTTCTATGGCAGAATTTATTTATTTTTTGAGGGGGGAGGGGCAGAGGGAGAGAGAGAATCCTAAGCAGGCTCCACACCCAGTGCAGAGCCCAACACGGGGCTCTATCTCACAACCCTGAGATCATGACCTGAGCCAAAACTGAAAGTCAGACACTTAACTGACTGAGCCACCCAGGTGTCCCTATGGCGGAATTTATTTTAAAACTACTATCAGTTACTTTAGTCTAATAAGTATAGACTTTATTAAGGGTCTTACAGGGTTACTTAAATTTCTCAGTTATTCTTTAATGCATTTTCTAGAGGAGGTTATAAGCTATACTGATATTGATAATTTGGCATCCAAATTGTGGAGATATTCCTTACAGATGTCAAGGGGCTTCCAAATGAAATGGAATTCATTTATTTATTTATTTTTATTTTTATTTTTTTAAGATTTTATTTATTCATTTGAGAGAGAGAGAAAGATGCAGAGAGAGCACAAGCAGGGGGAGAGGCAGAGGGAGAGGGAGAGCAGACACCCTGCTGAGCTGGGAGCCGGACATGGGGCTCGATCCCTGACCTGGAGATTATGACCTGAGCCAAAGGCAGATGCTCAACCATCTGAGCCACTCAGGTGCCCCTTAATTGGAATTTAAATATTCAATTGCTTTCAGTGTGCACAGAACCCAGGACAGTAAGTGCTTCTAATGTCCCCATCCTATGTCCATTTCACACCACATGATCTGGATGCATTTGTGACCTTTATGAACAATCTTCTAATTAGCCTGATAAATGCACAGTCCCACAGTCTGGAAGTTCCAGGTTCCAGTGCAAGGTCTGGCCCTGAGTGGCTGGGAGTCCTCAGGCAACTCACTTCTCTGGGTTTCAAGTTCCTCCCCCTTTAAAGGATAAGTTTATTCTCAAATAGCAATTACCAACCTGATATCCTAGAACCTCACTGGAATCTTGAAAAGTAGTAATGAGTATTCACAAGGTAAAATACTTCCAATATTTTATTAGAAACCTAATATTATATAGATTTACATTTGACAGGATAACAAAGGGGGCCCTTTTCTTTGTTTGGGCTGTGATGATGCAGGAATCCTCACAACTCTTTGAGGAATGTATTATTGTTATGAATTTACAGATAAGGAAACTGAGGCACAGAGAGTTAAACAATTTGCTCAAAGTTGCACAGCTAGTTAGTGTTGGAAGGAAGATCAAACCCAGGTAATCTGATTCCAGAATCAGTAACAACACTGCTTACTGCTAATTCTAATTCTGTCATACTAATTAGGAGCTCTGATTGGCAGCAGTATTCTTTAATGAAAAAAAGAAAATTAAATATTATTAATTAATAATTAAATACAGTTTGGTATGTGAAAATTTTCCAGAACCTCAAGTATTCAGAAAAAAAGCACTTGATGTTTGAAATGAATGGAAATGTTCGACCAGCACTGAATTAGATAATACCCAAGATCCCTTCTGGTTCTAATGTCTCTGAGACTGAAGAGGAAATATGGACTTTAAAGAAAAACAACTCTGTAAAACATCACTCAGACTGGAGCATTTATATTCCAAGAGTAATCAAAATACTGTTTCTTTGTTAAATGGTGCAGACAAGTTTAATTTTAAAAACCAGTAATCAAATGAGAGTCAGTGGACTTGACTATTAAGAAATCTTAAAGTCAAAAGCAAAAGGGCCTTAGAACTGCAATTTCATGGTTGATTTTTACCACATTAGTATTATGCTGGAGAATAATCACATAGAGTTCCTACATAGTGCTTATCAAAACATATGACCTGCTTTATAAACATTCTCTTCATTCCCCACAGCAATTCTACAGGCGATCAGGATACATACAGTCAACTTAGATTACTTAATAGCAAGAAAGGGGGAAAAAAAGAAAAAAGGAGAGCCAAGGCAGGGTCTGTCTTCTACCTCCCTCTCAGCCATTTCTAGCACAGAGCTGGCACAGGACCGAAGCTCAGTCAACATTTGTCCAAAGGCTGAAAAATTCACTAAGGGGCTACTAGACCCTGATAAAATCTCTATTCAGCTGCCCTGTATCCATAACATAAGTTTAATATAATGTAATGCCAACCAATGCAATTAATCTTAAATAGCTGTATGTAGTGCAGTGTAATTGCTGCTGAGGTCAACAACTTTTTAAAAACTCTGTGACAATGGAATATTACTCAGCCATCAGAAGGGATGAATACCCACCATTTGCATCGACATGGATGGAACTGGAGGGGATAATGCTGAGTGAAATAAGTCAAGCAGGGAAAGACAATTATCATATGGTTTCACTCATATGTGGAACATAAGGAACAGTGCGGAGGACCACAGGGGAAGGGAGGGACAACTGCATGGGAAGAAATCAGAGAGGGAGACAAACCATGAGAGACTCTGGACTCTAGGAACCAAACTGAGGGTTACAGAAGGGAGGGGGGTAGGGGAATGGGGTAACTGGGTGATGGGGATTAAAAAATTTTTTTCAAAGTTTTATAAAAATAAATAAATAAATAAAAATAAAAACTCTGTGACCTTAGGAACTAGAATCCTATCATTATATTCCAAGTTTACTTTATCTTCTCATCAGTTCTAATCCTTGCCTTGCTCAAAGTTTGTATTGTATTTTGCACATGTATAATGAGGCAGGTTCTTACCCTGACATTCTTGATAAAATAGAGAAGCCTGATTTGAAGTTAAGTTGTGAATTAACATTTTTTATTCAGAGGCAGTGAATGACTTCTGGTGACCCTGACTGATTTTAACATTGGGAGCAACCCCACCCTCCAGTTCATTGCGCAACGGGGAAGTGGTTTGCGGAGCAGGCCTACACAAAAAAGGCAAAAACCTTATTGTACATTAAATTTGTGAGTCATATCCCTTGCTCCTTGCTCAAGAAGAACTGTATCTTAAACAAGTGATGGAATGCATGGGCCAGACACTGTTGCGGTTTCAGAGGTGAATAAGATGCAGTTCTAGCAATCATATGACTGGGGGCTGCAGGAGGAGGCTGGAGGGTAATCCAAAAAGGAAAAAAAAAAAGGCTCACAAATAACTATGATTCAAGGCAGAATGTGATGAGAGCCCTCAATTCCCATAGAGAGAAAAATTATTTCTAGTTAGAGGATCAAAAGATTTCATAAGAGATATGTCAATAGAACTGGAATTCCCCATTCTATAAGCATCTTTTGAGCTCTGCTGTTCCTGAGACTCTCTGCCTGGCACTGGGGATTCAGAGATAAAACCAGCACATTTGTGCTCATGGAAAACCTTTCAGTCTAGCCAGGAAAGAGAAACTTATGAAAAGTTTCAACCCACCCTGGCACAAGTTCTAGGAAAAAGAAGAAAAAGCCACTGGAGCACAGAGGACTAAGCAATTCATTCTGCCTGGGGACTATGTCACCAAAAAAGGGGTAAATAAGAGTTTGTAAGAGAACCGACATACGACCCACATAGTGAGGCAGGTGCTTTGCCCGAGGCCTCACACGCATCCATGTCCTTGATTCTCACAATAACCCCTGAGGCACTTACTATTTTCCCCACTTTATGGATGGAAAAACTACAGCTCAGAGTTTCAGTAAATTGAAAGTTGCCTAAAGTCATACAATGGGTAAGCGAAGAAGCCATGAGAACTGAACTCT